GAGGGCAGTGTCACTGGCCCTCATATGTGGGATCCGAACCGGGGCCCTCTGGCATCCCAAGCCAGTTCTTAACCATTGCACCACTCGGCCGCCAAGCCAGCTCTTAACCAACGCGCCACTCGGCTGGCCCTGCTCTTGGATTCTTATCAGGTGCTTTTCCCCGCATTTGTCAGCGGGGTCAGGAGCCCCATTCCATCTGAGCCTGGGCTCTCCAACCAAGAAGGTTGGGGTTTTTTGAAGGGCCCTAGGTACTTCCCTTTTACAGTAAAGGAGCAGAAGTCCTGAGGGAATGACACTCGAAAGGGTTGTGGTGATGTGACTGGCGAAGAGAAGCTGTAAACTGGCGTCATGACCGCCCTCCATGGTGCCGGGTGAAGGCCAAATGAAAGCGTGATGGGGATCGGTTCGGCTGAAGGAGGCATTGCTTGTTCAGTATGGGATTGGATTATCAAAGAAAGAATGTAGAGTTCCCTCTCTGGGAGCAAAGGTGTGGGCTTTAAAATAACCACCGTCTATTCTGTGACTCAGCACACTTTTCCTGTAAAGAACCACATAGTAAATGCGTTAGGCTTTTTGGGCCAGGTACCATCTGTGTTATGTATTCTTGTGCGTGTGTGTGTTTTAAAAACCCTTTAATAATGTGAAATCCATTCTTAGCTTATGGGCTGTATAAAAGAGGCTGTGGGCCACAGTTTTACCACCCCCTGGTCTATTCAGTGCCTACTAGGTATGAGCAAAGCACATGTAAATGAAATTATGTCTTTAAGGCATCCGATACAATACAGCTGGTGAGCAAATTCTTCCCTGTCCAAAAGTAACCCTGACTAAAGGTGGGAAAAGACCAGTAAGAAATCCCTTCTAGTCTTAGGAGCCTCCATGTGCTTAGATTCTGGATTTTGAAGCACTGTCCTTTTCATTCCGTTTACTGGATACCAGCTTCCTGCTCTGTGCTGGGAACTCAACATGGCAGGGCATGGTCCCTCGCTGGGGCTCTCCCAGGGGTAGTCAGTCACCCAAAAAGAGCACACCCCTCAAGCTGATGGGCACCCTGAGGAGAGAAGCACAGAACTCATAATGGGGCCCACACTGCTTTGGGGGTTGGGAGCCTGACAGAGGAGTGGGCATTGACCAGGCAGAGGGGCTGGGGCATGGGTGGGGTTGTGCTTTCTGGGCAGAGGGAAGCCTCTGCAAAGTCTCTGTGGTATGCAGGAGCGTGATTTTGTTTGCAGAACTGAAAAAGCTAGCATGGTGGGAGTGTAGGGGGTGGTATGAGATGAGGCCGGGGCAGTTGGCTGGGCCAGGCTGTGCAGCACCATGGGGTCAGGCTGAGGATTTTGGTTTTACACTTAGAGCATGGGAAGCCATTCAGGGATGGATGGATGGATGGATGGATGGATAGGTATATATATATATATATATATATATATATATATATATATATATATATATATATATATATATATAATGCCACACCGCATCATACCAACACACAACATGATCATAATACACAACACATAACAGAAAACACAAAACAATAATACAATATAGCATACCATACCGTAACACATCACACACAACGTAACACACACCACACCACAACATAACACACAATAAAACACACAAAGGTCTTGGTTTGCCATCCAGCAGCCCTTGCCCACATGGGGACCATATGAGATGCTGCTCCCATGAGGCCCTGCCCAAGGGCCTATTCAGCCCCTTTAGACCATGTCCCTGTTAGTAGCACTCCCCTCACCCCCAACCCCCCAAAAAAGAACAAATTAGTGGCAGCAGAGAAGTGCCATAGATGTTTTAAAGATTCGACCTGTAGAGAAAGAGTTTTTAAAGTGAGCCAGTGGTTTTCTTGCCTTCCTGGTTGAGTCTGAAGGTACCTGAGGCTGAGATGCTTCAGGGCTTCAGATGGGGTGAGGTGAGGAGGGTTCTAGGTCCCTGCCCCTGCTCCAGGTGCTTCACCTCAGCTGTGTTAGACTCAAGCTTTTGCCTGTAATAAAAACGACAAAACCATGACCAGTCCCCCTGCCCTCATGGAGATGGCAGCCCCCTGGGCCAGTTCTGCAGCCTCTCTATGGGCCAGCTGGCTCTGTGTTCAAAACACCCTCTCATGGGGTGCTGACCAAGTGTGGTGACTGTCTCCTTGCAGCTGGAAGTGCCTCGGAGAGAGTTTGCTGGCCATGTACAACCACCTCACTACCTGCGAGCCTCCACGGCCCAGCCTCGGCAAGAGGATTGACCTGTCTGACTACCAGGACCCCAGCCAATCTCTGGTGTCCTCTGTGGTTGTGGCGCCAGTCAGCGTGATCCAGTCAAGCCCCATCAGTGCCAACCCGGCCGTGACCATGGCAGAGCCTGTGCTCTCCTACTCCCCTGTGGCTGCAACCAGCTTCCCACTGCATAGTCCCAGCCTGCTAGAGACAGGTATTGCCATGGGTGAGCAAGCCTCCTGGAATTGGCTTCTGGGGAGACCCAGTTTGCTCAGCAGGAATGAGTCTTGGGCTTCTCCGGTCTCTTCAGCGAGATGGGTCCTGCTGATATTTCTGGTCTGAGGTTTAAGCAAGAGCCCCTAACCCCGTAGGGGAGCCCCTTGGCCTGCCACTCCTCAGGGGCCTGTGCTCCTCAGTAACGAAGCCCCCACAAGGAGAGGTTCATGGCTCAGGAATGCAGATCCTTGGGACCACTCAACACCCGGCTGATAAGTCCTGGCTTACAGGTCACTCTTCCCGCTTGTGATGTTTGAGCTGGCAGGTCTCTTGGCTGGTTCTTCTCAGTTGCTGGCCACGTGCCACAGCACCCAGCGCTATGGTGCACTAACAGTCTGAGTTCTTTAACCTTAAAAAAGAGCAAGCAAAGTTATCACCATATGTGGGAGTATATTTTTGAATTGTTTTATTGATACTTATTATCATTGGAGTTGTAAAAAATTTCAGACAAAAGCTCCCAAGGCTTTTCTTGATTTTCTATGTCACTGAAGAATATGTAGCAGTTAAAAGAAGTTTTTGAACGTGTACACGATTGTTTCTAACTTTTTAACTTAATTATGCATGATACTCCTCTGTCCTCTGTATAATTCACATGATTCCCTCACCTACATCGTATCACTGGGTGCTCGCAGGGTCCTGGATGATGGGTAGAGTCAGTGTTGCTTCTACTTTCTCTGTCCCATCCCAGGTTCATTCATGATGCCCCAGAGGCTCTTGCAACCAGCTGGCACTAGGGGTGGGGGTTTGGGGGGACATTTGACTCTGAGACCCTCGTGTCCTGTATCTGTGCAAAGTATTATAGTTTTAAGATCTGGCTTGTGGGCTCTGAATTCGAGAAAGGTGTGAGAGTTAAGCAGTTTTAAATTAGCTTTCCTCAGGAATCTTAAAGAAGAGGTGGGAGATTTCTTGAATGTCAAAGAAGATAAAGATTAAACATGCTGGTAGAGTTACGAAAGGGGACCGATGTGTCTTGTGCTGCATTTTCATGTCCCTGCCCCTTTATGATTTTAATATGAGCTCTTTGTGAAGGTGATGTTTCTGGGGGAGATAAATCCAAGAAGGGAGTAAAGCGGAAGAAGATTTCGGAAGAAAGTGGGGAGACAGCGAAGCGGCGGTCTGCCCGTGTCCGGAACACCAAATGCAAAAAGGAGGAGAAAGTAGATTTCCAGGAGCTTCTGATGAAATTCTTGCCATCCAGGTACAGTGCACACTTTTCCTGATTTGCAGGCGCACAGCCTCCAGTGTACTCCATCAGTAAGCCAGCGGTAATGTTTCTCGTTCTGTTGCCACCCTCTCCTTTGAGCACCTCCTTTGTTATCCCATAACATCTGTGCACAGATCTCACTGGATTGGGATCTTGGGTTTTTCTTGCTTCTCCTGCCTCTGAACTTCCTGAGGGCAGGAATCATGACTTGTGCATCTTTTGGAGGACCAGGCACCCCCCTGGGCTCTCAGGAGATGAGGGGATTCCGGAGCTGGAGGTAACATATTCATTTCCCTGTGCGCTCACAGACACCTACTTCTGGGAGGCCTGAGGCTGTGTTCGTTGGATGCAGACACCACAAAACCCCACAGAAGGGGCACCCCTTCTGCTTTCTGGGAGAGTGCGTGTCTGCTTTCTCCAGGCTCAGCGGGGTTCCCTCACATTATGAGAAGGTGGAGGATGTGCGGATAAATCCTTCCTTGGTTTCACAGACTCTTAGTGTTCCTCAAAGAAGCCTTGCAGGAGGAGAAGGGGCCAGGCTACCTGAAGCTGGGGGTCCTGGGCCCCCAGTGCTCCTGTAGGTTTTCACCAGCCCTCCTGCTTTTTGTCCTTGCCTTCTCACCTCCTTCAGAGGCTCCAGAGCCCTCTGTTCCTGAGCCTTCCCAGGGTTTATGGTGCTGATGGATGGGCTTCTTGATGCTCCCCTCCCCTGCCCTTAGCTGAGTGGAGAAAGCAGTTCACTTTCTGCTGGTCTGTCATCTTTCTGCCTTCTAACATTTGGTGGGCATGGTTTATGTCTGCTGGGGCTTCCTCCCTGATCCCCTGTGTCTTTTTTAGTTTATACCTTTTTATTCCTTCACAGTCACTGGAGTGGATTTTGGGAGGTAACCATGTATGTTCAATGTGCATCTTTAACCAAGAGTCCTCAGCTGGGGTTTTGGCTCACGACAGTTTATTTCAGTGGCAGCAACATCCAAGTGGAGGAGGAGGAACCAGAGGCTTTAGGTAGATTGTAAATTCATTCTACGGCAAAATTCCTTGTTTTCCTGATTTGTTGCCTTTCTTTCTATGGTGAAAGTGAAATGCTTAGAAATTGAGGCTGTTTTTGGTGAGTAGAGGATGCAGTGTTCTCTGATCAATTCCTCCTGAAGCCCAGTACTGGGAACAGGTTTCCTTTTGGGAGAGCTGCAGGATGGTGCTGTGGCTGGTGACATCAGAGGTCTGTGTGACCCATTCATTTCCCCATCTGTTCTCCTGCCCCAAGGTCTTGTTCCCTTTGTCTGGAATGGTTTCTATCTTATCTTAGTTTGTTCCTGTGTGGTTTTTTTACATCGGCTTCTTTGAATGGTCAGGCAAGAGCAATGTGCGCGCTTGCCTGCAGTAGTCACCCTTTGGGGGAGGGAGGTGTACAGTAAGTGAATGAAGACATCGAAAAGTGCCCTGAGTGTGCTGCAGGGCTGCTTGGTTGAGGGGAAGCTACAAGGATGCTAAAACATAGTCCTTGGGAGGAGCTGAAAAGAATGGTGCCTGCTGGGAGAGGCCTCTGCAGCTTCAAAGCTCTGTGAGGAGCCATGGGGTGACCAAGCTCAGAAGGGCCTGATGTGGCCCCCACACTTCACACAGCCACCCCTTTTCGCCGTGTTCACTGGGCTCCCCTCAGTTCTTAGAACATACCAGGTGCTCTTCTGATTTGTCCCTCTGTGCCTGTCCTTGTCCTGCTTCTTTGCGTTGCCGTCCCCTTTCCTCCTCCAGTGTTGGTGTGAACGTCAACCCTGTCTAAGAGACCTTCCTGACTCCGTTCTCTAAAGGTCCCCGTGGCAAGCATTCTGCTGTGGTTGGACCTTATTTGGGGTCTTTGATTTTGTGTATCTGCTTATTGTCTGTCTCTCACATTAGAAGGTAAGCCTACTGTGGGCAGGGTCTGCCACACTTACGGTAGAATTCTGGTGCTTGGCACAGCAGTTGGCACGTGTCAGCGCTCAGTAATCATCTGTTGATGGAACAAATAAGAGCGAGGGTGCAGACCACATGCCAACTCACAAAGGCCTGGAGAGAAGCGGAACCTCTCAGAGGCCTGGTTTCTGCAGCCGCTGCGTCCTTATTCTGGTTTTCCTCTGCCCGGCCCTTTCTCCCACAGTAAGAATTCAGGTGCTTGTGTCGGAACGTGTGATGTGGCATTTTTTTTTTTTTCCCTTCACAGGACAAATATAAATTTTGGCAGTTTCTGGTTGAAGGTTGTTTATGCTTTAAAGCATTTCTCTGTGAGTTTCCAAATTAAAATAGCATATACCTAATATAGTTTTTTAAAATATCATTATGGACATATATCTTTTCAGAGACATACAGCCTCCATCAGAGTGGGACTACATGACTTTGAGTACAGATGGAATAGGAATACCTGTTCTGCCACTTACTTTATGATACTGGACAAAGACTAAAAATATGAATATGAAAATTTTTTTCAAAAGAGTTCTCTGAGATTGCATAAAATGATGGCTACTCAATGTTAATTTTATTTCTGTCTAAGTACTCCCTGTACAGATTTAATGGTTACAAGAAGAAAATAGATCATTTTGTATATTCAAAGTCCAGAGTGCTAACCATTATACAATGGGGCCTGCCCATGTTCTGTATTCATTCAATGGACTTTAATCTCAAATCTTTTTCATCTGAGAAGAGCATTTAATAATATGCATCAAGAATATGCATTAATAATAAGTTTTCCAGCCCAAATGCCTTTTTGATGAATTTGATATTCAAATAAATATTAACATAATTCACACTTAATGCACATTGGAAAGGTTATGGGTGAAAATTCAAGGGAAAACTTTTTTCAGGATAATGCTCAAATGATGAGTTCATTGCCACAGAATATATTTTCCTTCTCATTTGAATTATAGCTTCCTCAAAACTAAGAATGATTCTCACATTTAGTTAAGATTTCTAATTCTGTGGAATATAGTGTCTGTAAAAGGTGCAAAAATAGGCATGAAAACTTTGAGAATTACCATCACTGAACTTCTTGATGTGGCTTTTTTGGTTTTGGTGTATTCCATACAGGCTAAGAAAGCTGGACCCCGAGGAGGAAGATGATCCCTTTAATAACTATGAAGTTCAGTCAGAAGCCAAACTGGAAAGCTTCCCGAGCATTGGGCCTCATAGACTGTCATTCGACTCAGCTACGTTCATGGAATCTGGTAGGCATTGAGCAATATGATCATTTAATGTGGGGAATCTTTCCTCCTGTTCTCCTGTAACCAGATTAGATTTGTTCTGGGAAAGTGGTTCTGGGTGTTTTTAAAGTATGCCAAAGGGCTTCCTGGATTTGTCTTGGGTCTGAGCTCCATGGTCAGCTAGGAGGTCTGCCAAAACATTCAGGCTCATCCTTGACTGTGCTCCCTGAGGGACGGGTGCTTCAGGCCAAATCCAGAGGTGTGGCTTCACAAGTCAAACGTATCTCACATACTGTTGAGCGTGTGTTGTGTGCGTGCTTTGTATTTTTGTGCATGATCTCACTCGGTGCACATGGCAGCACTTGGAGGTCAGCCCTTAATACCCACCTTAGACCAGGAGATACAGATAGGCTTGCTCGTAGTCAGGAGGGCTGGAGCCAGGATTGGAATCTGGCAGCTTAACCTCAGCACCACCACTGCTGTTGCTCTCCTCTTTCCTCTTGTGAAGAAAATGGGGGGTCCTTCATTCAAGTCAGGTTGTTTCTCCCTCCCCGAGCAGAGAAGCAGGATGTGCATGCATTCCTCCTGGAGAACTTGACCAATGGAGGTATTCTGGAGCTGATGATGCGCTACTTAAAGAGCATGGGCCACAAGTTCCTGCTGAGGTGGCCGCCGGGCCTGGCGGAGGTTGTGCTCAGCACCTACCATAGCTGGAGGAGGCACAGCACCAGCCTGCCCAACCCACTGCTGAGGGACTGCAGCAACGAGCACATCAAGGTCAGGCAGATGGGGGAGGCCTCTTGAGGGCCAGTGTCATACTGGGACCACAGGGTGGGCACAGGGACCTCAGGGACCTTCTGTGGGTGTGGGGCTGCTGCCGCATTGACCCTGCTCATCTGCATTGACTTATGGGCCTGGAACCCAAGCTCCTGTGGGTTTGGAGCAGGAAATCATGGGACCTGGTTTGTGCCTAGAGAGATTGCTGGTGGCTGAGTGTAGAGTACCCTTGAGGGTGAGAGTGGGCGCGGGGTTGTTGGGAGGCTGTTGCCTGGTGAACGATGTGGTGGCAGCAGGTGAGTGTTCTGGAGGCAGAGCTGACAGGAGGAACTGCATATGGAGGTGAGGGGGGAGATGGGGAGGACTTCTAGGGCTGACCCAGGCCTGGGGCTGGTGATGGAGTGGTTTACTGAGATGGAGGAGAGCCAGTGGAAAGGCTGGGCAAAGTGAAAATTTACCTATGTTTGAGGTTCCAGGGCCTATTACTGATTTTTAAACAGGTGAGAAAACAAGTGCAGA